CAATTTTTAATATTTATTTCAATTTTTTTTATCGATTTTAAATAACAAAATCAAAAGTAAAATAATTCTTAATTATTTAATGGGGCAAAACTTCCCGAATTAATTTCCACAATCTTACGAGATATATTCGACAAAAAATAATCCGTAACAAATGCGGAAGCTAGAAGCTATGGCTTCCGTCTATCTACCCGCTTCTCTCAAAATTGGGGTTCGGACTTCTCTCTAATTAGGGTTTCCCCTAATTAGGGTTTTGGGTTTTGCGCGCAACCGCACGAACACCGTAACGCCCTGCTGGACGCGATAAAATTTTTGTTACCTTTCACTAGTCTTAGAAGAAAAACTTATTGGATTACATTTTTAAATCTCTTTTTCTTTTAATTTAAACAAAATTACAAAGAAATTCAATTTCCCGTTGATTTTCTTCCACCTTTTCTATCTGTTAGAGCTCGCCGTTTGTCCAAACGAAGTCCGTTTTTCCCGACTAGGGTCTCAAAATGTCGGGAAAAATACAGGGACCAACTTTGGTCCAGTGGGGTTCCTCTTATTTCGCTTATTTCCCGACCATTTCAATAAAACGAAAATCAAAATTTTAAAAAATTTTAATCAAAAAATATAAAAAATTTCATATCTCGCTTTTTAGCCGTTCGAATTTCTCAAAAAATGTCTCAAAACGTTCGCCTCGATGAGAGGACGAACTTTGCTCCTTGTGCACCTCGCACGAAAGCGTGCGGATCAGGAGATATCGAGGAAAAACCAATTAGCAATTTTAACTCATGATTTTTTGGATTTTTAATTAAAAAAATACAAAAAAATCCATATTTTTTTCTCTAGCCGTTAGATTTTTCAAAAAACGTCTCAAAACGTTCGCCTCCACGAGAGGGCGAACTTTGCTCCCAGCGCGGCTCACACGAAAGCGCGCGGATCGGGAGATATTTCAAAAAAACTAAATAAAATGATTATAAAAAATAAAACTAATCAAGAAAACAAGYTAATTAGTGTTTGACTAATCAGCCCGTGCACCCCCGTTGGTTGACGAAGGTCGCGGCCTTGGGGGTGCTGCTCCCCTCCCCGGCAACGGCGCCAAAGTTGGGAGGAAACCCGGGGAGGGGCGCCTACCATTCGCCGAAGCCAAGGGCAACGGCGCCTGTCACCCACCGCGCCCGCTTTCGAGGTCCTCGGCGACCAACAGGAATCGAAACTTGCGGTGCCCTGTCACGCTTCCAATTTTCTTTTCCTTTCTTTGTGCAATTTAGCAACTTCACAAAGCAAGGGGGTTCAACAGACAACTGGTAATACCACAAGCTCATACAACCRTAAGTTTCAACAGCCAATTGGTTCAACAGCTAATCAACAGTTCAGCGAGCTCACGCAACAGTGAGTTTCGACAGTCAACTGGCAAATCAGCTACGGATGCAGAAGCGAGTTTCCCGAGTCAACCTTGGGCATGCCCCCCCCGTTCTCTTTCTCCCTCTCTCTCTGCTCCCTCTCTCTCTGCTCCCTCTCTCTCGTTGTTCTCTCTCTCTCTCTGTCGCTGTTCTCTCTCTCTCATCTTTCCCTGCACCATTGGTCTATTCCCCCCTGATGAAATACACCGCCTGCACTCATTCCCTCCGTTTCCCTAGGTACTCTCTCTCGCCTCCTTCGTTAGCTCGTTTTCTCCCCCCCGCTGTGGACAGGCTCAACCCGCCGTTCTCCACAGACAGTTGACTGAGATAGAAATTACAACAGTGAAAAAAAGGGAAAAGGGCGCACTCAAGCGCGCCAGCCCGCTCTCTTTGACTGAGCGAGTGTCATGCAGGTACTAACCCACGCTTAACCCCAAGTCCTTACCCCTTACCTCTTCTTCTGTGCGATCAAGATCGCAATAGTAGAAATGACAGTGGAAAGGCTCGATGGCGCCCGGTAGAGTAAGGTAACTTGTCCCTTCAGCAGAGGTATGTTCGATTCCCCGATCAGCGGAAGTAGATAACTGGGCCCCACGAGACGCGGGAGGGCTCGATTTACAGATCAGCTAGCGTGAAACAACTGCCCCCCCCAGCAGCGGGAAGGGTCTATTGCCCAGTCAGCAAAGGTAGCATAATTAACCCGCCAGCAGAGGGAATGTTTGCCAAATCACCAAAAGTGTGACAATTGGCCAGCCAGCAGCGGGATCGCCAGTCCCGTGATTCTTTGGGGAGCAGAGTTCCCGCTAGCTGCGGGACCAACTGATTGTTTGTATTGAAGAGTTTCATTCCCGCTGGCTGCGGGATCAACTGGTTTGGCCGCACTGATGAGCACCTCTGCTAGCAGCGGGGTTGGCAGATAGGTAAATCACTGTTGAGCACCGTTCCCGCTGGCTGCGGGATCAACTTGATTGGTCACATTGATGAGCGTCCCCGCTAACATCGGAATTGGCAGATTGGTAAATCACTGTTGAGCACCGTCACCGCAGGCCGTGGGTTCAACTTGATTGGTCGCATTAATGAGCACGCCCGCTAACAGCGGAATTTGCAGATTGGTAAATCACTGTTGAGGACCTTCCCTGCAGGCTGCGGGATCAACTGGTTTGGCCGCACTGATGAGCATCTCCCG